CTATACACAGAGCAATTTGGGGACTTCTGTCCGGACGTTTTAGGTGGCTGCAAAGCCTTTGAGATAGAGTCTCGCTCTGTCACCCAGGCTGGAGGGCAGTGGCGCGATCTTGGCTCACTGCAACCTCCACCTCCTGTGTTCAAGCCATTCTCATGCCTCAGCCTCCTGAGTAGCAGGGATTACGGGTGTGCGCCACCATGCCCAGTTAGTTGCAAACCTTTTATAAATTGTGCACTTCCCTGAGAAACAAAAGGCATAGTCTGAGAGTTGCTGTTCAGTGAGCATTACTGGGGCCCCAGTGCTCAGGACCCCAAAGCATGACCATCAGGGGCACGTGCTGCTCATCTCTCTGCAGCTGCTGTTGCTGGGCGAGTGGGTCAGAGAACCCACAAGCCACTGAATGGCCCCAGGAAGCCCACACTGGCCAAGCCTAGCTGCTGTGGTCTGTGGGTTTTGCAGTTTATCTGTCCGAGGGCTGGGGATCAAAATGCTGAATCTGCAAACAGGGATCACATTTGCTGGAGCTCCTGATTCTCAGCGGAGTTCCCGCACACCCTTCGTAATAAGCTTAAAGGTAAATGTTAGGCCCTCCTGCTGGCAGGGCGGGATCCCACGTGTCTGGCCAGGGCAGGCCCACGTGGGTCTGAAGAGCTCACGCATCATCACGTTAGCATAATAGCAGTCAAGGGCACGTGACGTCAGCTGGGAGGTGAGGGACAGATGTCTGTACTAAGGGGCCTCCAACCCCATCCCCCCAAAGAAAAGTTCTAAATGCTAAAAGCAGTCCACAGTAAAATATTTATGCAAATAAGCAAGTTTTTTCTCCTCTAGGCACCTGCCGGTGGTTCACGCTGTTTATCTCTTTTGGAAATGCAAGAACATGTTTTGATATAGATTACAAAAGCTCGGGCAGCAGAGGTGTTTATGTACTCAGAAGGCCGAGCTGCCGGAGTGGGAACATTGATTCAAGGTCTCTGGATGTAAAGTGAGTCAGGCGAAAAGATGTTTTGCTTTCTCCCCTGTGAACACCCATCTGAATTGGCGAGAAGTGTCTTCCCGTCTTCCCGCAGCCTCCGCCATGTGGTGTGCCGGCTGTAATGACACACGGGTGACAGGTTACCTGGACAACATGCATTACAATTACAACCCAATGCTGCAGGACAGAGAAGGCTCGGCAGTGAGGTTGCCTGCCTCGCAGGTAGACACGGTGCTGCGTGACTCAGCAGTGTTCGGCTGTGGTTGGAGTGCTCAAAGTATGTAAATGATCATCCTTCTCCTTACCTGGGCTTCAGTGGTTTTCAGCGACCACAAATTAAGATCCATACCTCTCGACGCACATTAGGAACTCTCTGCAACCCAAACAGCCTTCTAAATTTTCTTTCTCTTGTCAGCAAGAACCCTCTGCTTCAGCAACCAGAGTCATGGAGGACAAATCAAGGCAGCACACTACGGGTGCATGCAACGGGAATACTAGGACCAGGCTGAGCCCCCAGTGATCCAGGAGGAGCTCCCAAGTCCAGAGAACCTCCAGCCTCCTCTGGTGCCAGGGAAACGATGAAATATTCTATGTGATACGGAAGCTAACGTTTACTCCGCACTCACTATGTGGCAGGCACTGTTCTAAATGCAACTCATTTAACCAGTGAGGGAGGCATGAATGTGCTTCCCCTTTGAGGGATGGGGAAACTGAGGCATGGGAATGCTAAGAAACATGCATAAATTCACCCAGCTGATAAGCACAGGACGAGATCTGAGTCCAAAACGTTACCCATGCTGCCGGCCTGCTTGTCGGTAATGCAGTGTTGAAAACACAGAGGAAAGGAAAAGCAGGCAGTCCCAAGGTTCATGCCATCCGACTTGTGCAGACGAGAGCTGCTTTCTTTCGTGCTATTTCAGTGAATCTGTAATGAACATCCTTGTACATTTCTCCTTGTGCACACAGGCAAGAATTTCTCTAGGGCGAAGGCCTGGAAGTGCAGAGCTTCTGGGGTGTGGCATGAATGTGGTCACCTTTCCTGGGTATTGCCAGAGCACTCCCCAAAGTGGATGCACCAACTCCCTCTCCTGGCAAGGGTGGAGGGGTCTTGTTTCTCCACATCCTCATGTAAACTTGGCATCATCACAGCTTCTTATGGTGCCAAATCTGGTGAATGTGAAATGGGATTTCATTGTGGCCTCAATTATCATTTTATAGTGCTCTTGTTGTCAGAAAAAGAAATGTCAGAGACACTCTGGAAAGTAAACGACAGATGATGAAACCAGCTGATGGGCTCACTGGACAGTGGGCCTCATGCTGTGCCAGCAGGCGTGCTGAGGACAAGCCTGACCAGGTGGACACGTGGTCAGGGAGCGGGGCAGTGAGGACCTGGGGCTACAGAGGACATCGGTGTGAGTCCTCAGGAAGGTCAGAGGGCCTGGAGAAGCAGGTGTGTCAGGCAGAGGGCTGGGCCTAGGGCTGGCTGAGGCCAGAGCCTCCCCACGTGTGCAGGGAAGCCCTGGGTCAAAGTCTCAGCACTGGAATCTGAGCACAGGTTTGTCTATGGCAAGAGAGAAGCACAGATGAAGCACATGCTTTGCTCCTGCACCTGTCCCATACCTTAGCACTCCAGAACTGATTCTTGGCAGCCCGGTAAGGTGACAGTGAGTGGACAGAGGTGACCACAGAATGAGGACTTGCCAGGAGGGTCTACCGAGGCCGGCAGTGGGAGCCGGGGGCCCTGCCAGGGTGGAGGTGGGGCTGGGGCAAACCTGCTTCTTCACAGGGAACACCATTCTTGTGGACTCCTGTGCCTCTGTCAATGTTTCTTGTTTCACAGCATGCTGGGGACAGGTCCTGGGTAATCAGATATTAGCCCTGCTTGTTCCAGAAAAGGCTGATGCCTGGGTGCTGTGCTGAGGTTAGGACCCGCCTGGGTGGGGCTCCTGCAAATCTCTTCACCACAGCTGTCTGCTGGGCAGACCATTTCCTACCCCGAGACCGGGCTCACTGCGCAGGCACCAGATGTGGCTCGTAGCTCCCTCTCTGCCGGGCCAGGCCCTGAAATGCTCACCTCCACAGTGGCTGCTCATCTCAGATTTTAGTAGCAGGAACCCACAATTCCAAAGGTCGCCTCACTGAGAAATGCCATACTCAAAGCCAGACACTTCTATCTGGCAACTCCAGAAATCACATCAAGAAAGAGGCAAAGTGAAAATAGGCCACAGCCTCCTTGTGCAGAAGACTGAGGAAGTTCCAGGCCCCCTCTCAGGGAAGCAAGGGCTCAACAAATATTTGGCTCTGCGTCCACCCTTCTCAGGCTGCCAGAGTGATTATCTCAAAGGCAAATCTGATTGTGCAGCTTTCTCACTCAAAGACCTTGGAAGAGTTCCTGCTGCCGTTCGACACAGGCCTCCAAACTCTTTTTTAGTGATGTGAAACTCTTCAAACCAACTCTTAGAATCCCAAGATCAAATGCAGGCAAAAGTGGTGAATTTTACCACCTGTTTGTAAGTCTGAGTTTATAACATGACCGTACATCACCCAGAACGCAGGCTAGACAAATCAGGGGTCTCCGGTGCGTCAGGATTCCGCCAATATCCCGAGAGCTAACCTGGGGCTGGGGCAATGTTCTGTGGCTGCCGTGCTTTCCTCTCATAGGCCAGCTTAAAACGTCCGGGTTTCAGGGCCACATTCTCCAGGGCACAGCAGGGAGCTCACAGTAGCTCAAGACCTGGCCCAGCCTCCAACCCCAGCCTTGGAGCCGTCAGTGCTCCCACAGGCTGAAAGCATTCGGTCTTGGCTGAGCGGACACCCCCTTCCCTTCTTCCAAGGCTTCAGAAGCCACCTATCTCCAGATCCCACTCCAAAGGAGCCTTCCACCCAGAGACCCCACCCAGAAGGAGCTGTGTGTGAGGCACTGAACCCAGAAGGAGCTGTGTGTGAGGCACTGAATGAAACCTCTTTCAGATGGCTTATCTCACGGTACTCTCAACGTGTGTCTCTGTTACGGGACTGTGGGCATCTTGGGGGATGGGCGCGCCTCATTCATTCCTCACCCGCCACTGTGCGTAAGACACCTGCACACGGAAAGTCCTCAATTTGTCTCTCTGAAAGGGTGAATGAATCAAGGAACTGGGGATGTTTTCAAATAGAATTTGCTGCTTTGGGGAACTGGGAAAAATTCAGGCTTTTCATCAGTGTTACCAGAGTTGGTATGCCGGCTGTAATGCTGAAAAGTCAGAAGTAAATTCCCTGGGACCCAAGGCATGCGCTTCATCTCATTGGCTTCTTATAAGGATTGGGTGCAAGTGCTGTAGGAAAGATGTTTCCGGGAACATGGGAGCAAAGTCCAGGTCTGCATCTTCTCTGAAAAACTAGCCTGTTGTTTCCCAAACACACAGCAAAATAGCCTGATATTTCAGAGCGGAAGGGGAAGTTGGTTACGAACGGTATCGCCATGAGCCGCAAATGAATGGAAGAAATTCCAGGTTAGCAAAATGTAAATTTCATTCCATACAAAAAACCCTTAGTACATAGCTCAGAAAACAGCCAAGAGGCCCGTGATCATCTCGGTTCAGGAAATGCTAGGCTGCTGGAGACAGGCTTTTGTTTAACCTCATAAACATCTAACAAACAGGGAAGACATCAACTTGATTATTATTTCTCTCCTTTTAAGCATCATCACTCCTTTTTTTTTTTTCTAATTCTTATTTTGGGGATAGGGTCTTGTACTCTCTCCCAGACTGGAGTGCAGTGATGCAATCTTGACTCACTGCAGCCTCAACCTCCTGGGCTCAAGCGATCCTCTCACCTCAGCCTCCCAAGTAGCTGGGACCAATAGGTACATGCCACCATGCCCAGCTAATAGTTTGAATTTTTTTTTTTTGTAGTGATGGGGTCTCACAGTGTTGCCCAGGCTGGTCTTGAACTCCCGGGATCAAGCAATTGGCCTGCCTCGGTCTCCCAAGGTTCTGGGATGACAGGCCTGAGCCACCACGCCCGGCCACCGCCGCTCCCTTACCCAGGATGATGCCGTTGGGCTCCTCCGGAGGTTGCCACACAATCCGCACGGAGGTGAGTCTCACTTCGGGGAACACAAGCCTCACTGGTGGGCCTGGAGCTGAAGGGAAAACCACAGGGATTCAGATGTCAAGACAATGTTCCTTAGGTGCGTGACAGGTTCCACAGGACTCTGAGGGTCAGCTGGGTGCAGGAACTACCACAGGCTACAGTGTCATGGGTTTAGAACCCTCTAAAGTTTTGGACTGATGACTTTGGAACCTCACCGGTAGTGTGGCTCCTTAAGAATCTTGAGCAAACACTCCCTTTAAACCCTGCCCATCTGCTTTCCAAGACTCAAAAGCAGGGCTCATGAACTATGCCAGGAAGAGCGTGAGTGTGACCAGCCTACCAGGACACAAGTAGACCAGTCACTAAATGACTCTGACAGCAAACATCAGGTTGAGAGGAAGGATTTCCCCCATCTGAGCTCCGATTCCCTTACTGGGTTTGACGTCTGCAAAGCAGGTGGTAGATAAGGCGGCCTGAAGTTCCTCCCAACTGTAACGGAGGTTACAATTTCTGATGGAAGAACACGTTTATCCTCAATCATTTTTCTCGTAGGCATGCCACCTCTCTCCTGCATCATCCTAGATAATTAAGAGTTGATGTGCACAAATGCATATAATAATTCTTGTATGTGGTTCAGTGCGCCAATAATTCAAAAAGCAGTTAGATGTGGTGGAACTGCTGAATAATAGGGTCATAGCCCTCATAAAATACATTTACTTAAACGAACAGGCAAGTAAGTGTGTGGCCAATATGAGAGCTTCTTGTTGGAATTAATAACTGATTGATTCCCAGGTAAGAGGCAATGGGCATGAAACAATCAATGTGAAAATAAAAGGATGCATGTTCGTCATTCTGGGCTGCTGACTTCTGTCCCTGGCTATGAAGCTGGGAACGGTATTTTAAATTTTGAATGCGTGTTATGATGCCTAGTTTGCGGTGAAATAAATGTTTGAAGGAGGCCACCAGGGTCGCAACCAGGACTAAGTCACAGATAGGCAAACACTGACTTCAGTCTTCAGTAGCGTTGCTCCCCTGAGCCCTCTCCTGGGCTGTTTACGGGGATTACGCTGGAATGCAGAGGAGGAAAGGCAGGTCTATGGGAGCGCTGTGGGAGGGGAAGCGGCAGCATTCCAGGACTCACTAGTGCCTGCTTCAGGAGGGAACAGTGGCCTTGGGCCTGCTGTTACAGTTTCTAATATGCCCCTTTTTACTTTCATCTGGGGAACCTGGAATACACTGGAGCTGGAAAGAGTTTTGAAAGGAAGCAACATCCACATTCCTTTTCCCTCCTGGATCCTCCTCTAGCCTGAGATCCTGTGTCAGGGGAGGATGGACAAAGCCTTCTGCAGGGTTCCCGTCTCGCCCCGAGGCGAGGCAAGGATGGGGACGGCGCTCTCTGATCAACGTGGAGACAGCGCTTTCCACTCAGCAGTTAAGAGGATTTTCGGGCTCATTTAGTTACTCAGCAAAGATGCTTAAGAAAACCTACGGTTATTTCACTTCTTCAGCCACTCTGATCCCCATAGTGGGTGTTTTTTTGGCAATGGGGGAGATCAGTACTTCTCCCCCTGATGTGTTCATTACAGTCTGTCTAATAGTGAAAATGTAGAGACGCTAACCTTTACATGTTTGACATCTGCAAAGTGGGAAAACATATTTACCGATGATTTAGAGTTCCATGAAAACAAAGCTGGCAAGGCGTGCTTGTTATTCAGGTCTGGAAACGCAGGGAGCTGGGGACCCCGAGCCGTCAAACATGGGGCTTTCTACAACTTCTAATTACCTCCCACAATGCAAACAGTGAGACCGGGGCAGTACTGAGAATTAAGGCACGAGGTCCACTGTGGATTTTTTAAACTATAGTAGT